TGTATGTGTTGTAGAATGTGCTGGTGAATGAAAACTTTGTGCAGCTGCTGGAGTTAACATGTCAGGAACACCCCAGCCTAGAGGTGCAGTATGGTGGGGTCGGGGGCTTTATTGCTAAAAAACCTCCAAAACGGCCCGACCCAATGAAAGTCATTCAGGTACTGGAGGGATTTTAACATACAAAAATATAATGAGAACACGACTACAGTACTGATCATCATTGTAGACAAATGTGCGGTTTGTTGACACAGCTGATTCAATATAGAGGACTAGCTGTATGAGATGTATGATGAACCTCTGTGGAGAATCTCTTTTTCTGTTTATGAAGGACTACCTTGATGAGCGCAAGCTTCGCCTTTGGGATTTCTTCCGAAATATCGACAAAGATGGGACGATGCATGTTCCTGTCTCGGAGTTCAGGAAGGCTGTACAGGCAAGGACTCATGTCTTAGTCACTGACATTTCCTAATGCATTCAGTGTGGCTCAGTGCCCTGAATCATACTGCATAATGTGTTATTTTCTGTTCCTATATTACAGCAATCAAGCATCCCTCTGGACCGTTTCCAAATCGAAGAGCTCATTCAAAGACTGGACAGGGAAAGAACAGGAAGTGTAGACTATAGGTGGGGTCATTTAAACTTTTCTTTGCATAATAATAAAGCCATTGCAAGGCTGAAGGCTTGTTAGTCACTCCAGATTTCACTGCTCAGAGCAAGACCTGCTCATTTAGGATCATCTAGGGATTTTTCTCACATCCAAAATAAATGATTCCCTCTTCAGTAGTGTTTGTAGGGTAATTGAAGGACCCATTTTATGGAAAACCAACATGTTTTCACTTTCTCAAGCACAGTGCTGTTTTTGTGATGTCACAAAACATTCAATGCATTTACATTTATCTTCCTATTCAGCCTACAGCAGTTTAGCTCTGCCCAATCAGGTTGAAGTTATAAAGAGTGTTTGCTTTTTAAACAAAACACTAACCAGAAAACAAGTAATGTACCTATATCAGTCTTATGGACACAGTAACAAACAGCCTATTTAATTTTAAGAGAAATTAGAAAATATTTATGTGAACATTATGTGGGTTATTCTCTGAATAGGGCGGCCTTCTGATTTAGAAAATGCTCCACATTTGTCTGTAATATAACTGCAATCCGAACCCACACAAATGGTGGCTTATTTATTTTTTAATAATTTTAGAATACTTAATTAAATCATGAGTGAGCTATATTTTCTGTCATTGGTGTTACAGTCACTATAAATGAAAATCAGTCTATAAAGAATGCAAGTTAGCCTCTTAAATTGCAGAGATGACACAATTTAAAATTGGTAATGATATTATGATGTATTATGATGTTTGTCATTTATATACTGCAATTAGAACAATATAAATGTCAGCTGTGAAGGACTTTTCTATCTGTACTATTCTATTAACTGTATAATTAACAATAATTGAAACTGGACAATAAAAACGGATTATGGGCAATCTTAAAATGTTTACTCTGAAATAAAAGCATTATTCAATGCATTAAACACCTATAAAATAAACATTGCAGCATTCGTAGAGCTGAAACTGACCAAACCCATCATGTAAGACCAATGACACAGTGTAAAACCAATGACATCACGATATTATTTCAATCTTCATATTATATCAGTGCACGCCAAAGGCCAAGTAACAGTGAACTAAACCTTATACACTACATTAGGATGTTATTACTACTTATAACATTAGGTATTAATTATTATTATTATTATCTATCCTGTTAAAACTCTATAACACATTCATCACAATAACTGGTAACAAACACTGAAACAGGTCTGTGATGACAAGTGTGTACTTTATGGCCCCACAACACATGAACAAAACCTACAGTTTATCAGATTTCATTTTAATCCATAAAAATGATAAATAAAAAACAATAATTTTGTAAATACCATTTCTCTGCACACATTTTAACTTCATGCTCTTAATGACTTCCAGCATTATGTCAGTGTATGTTCACTGTAATGCAACATTGAATACAATGTTTGTTTGTTTAGGATATGTTAAGTTGGTCATTCAGTGAAACTGCCACTTAGAAACTCCACTTTTAACGCCACTTAACAAAAATAAAATAAAAGAAAAGAAAAAAAATGGTCATTGTATTGTGCCAATGAAGCAGTTATTTCTTAGCGTGTTAAGTTCTGAATATATTAGACCTCAAAAATCTACTGCCATTTGTGTAACAAGCAAAATCTGTTACACCAGTGACGGTCAAACAAGTGACAATTTGGCATTGAACTTGATTTTCCCAAGATGGATTCCACAGTCTCTCAAACCACACCTCATCAATCACACGTATTTCAACAAATGATGTCAGTTAATTATTTATTTGAATGAAAATCATTTTTTTTCTCATGTGTTAAAATGAATAGCACCAATGACACATCTAACAGTCTTACTTGAAAACAGAAATTGAAGATAAGTTTATAACCTTGCATGAGTGGGCTTACTACATCTTCCTTGTAATAATCCCTCATACTTGTGAACTTCACCCCAGAAAGAACTGTATTTGGAATTTTAAGGATGTTAAAGTAAGACATTTTAAACAGTAACACCAATGACATAAAATTGAGGAACAAGTGTCTCATAATTTATTTACATTTTTAAATAGTTTTTTTTTCTATGTGATGGATTTAATCATTTTATGTGCATCTTTAATGCAGGCCATGAGAGAACTGTTTTTTAATGTGTATATATTTAACAGCAATTCTACACAGAGTTTGTGGAACGTATGTTTTTCAGGCATACAACACTTTCACAAATTTCACAAATATAGCAGTTAAACATGCTGTTATTATTTACAAACATATTAGTATTAATTCACATACGATGAATTACATAACAATGTCGTATTATGTTGTATAAATAATCAAATAATAAAAACACACAAAGAGCAGAAACAAAGTATCAGGTAAATCTTCTTAATCAGTCTTCCTTATGGCCATCCTGCAGAGGCTTGGCTGACACCAGGAAGCAGATGATGCGGGACCACCGGCGGCAGCTGCGTAAAGTGGAGTCCCGTCAGAAGAAAGAGAAGCAGAAGAGTGATCGCATCCTCAAAACCTTCCAGACAGCCGTGGAGGCGGTCACCCCACGCAGCTCCATGGTCATTTCCCCAGGCGGCGCTAAAGAAGACTCCAGCGGGCCGCAGCCCTTCTCAGCCACGCCCCTCAGCTCCTGGCATCACATCATGATGTCCAACAGCAGCCGCTACTCTGTCACTAACCTGAGCAATGAGCACATCCACCTCCCCATGATAGGAGGCACTGCGTCCTCCAGGCCAACAAGTTCGCCGGCCATGCGCTCCTACTCCCAGCCCAACCTGATGGACAGCGGACCTCGGCCATTTCTGACCAAACCTGCATCTGCCCAGGGAATTCACTCCATCTCCAACCCAAGCGAGAACACCAGCAAGCTGAGTCCCACTGCCAACCATCTGACCACATCGAGGCCAGCGCTAAACACCAAACAGCCGGCCACAAAAGGGCCCAAGGGGAAGAAAAAGAAAACTAAAAAACGAGCAGATAAAACTTCCAAGAATCAAAATATCTAAGAGTAACAATAAAGAATACAGTGTAATGAACTTGATCGTTTTACGTATGACATGACATCTATGAATGTTCAAATCTAGACATATGACTTTCAGAAACTAGCTACCGTTCAAAAGTTTGGAATCAATTATTACATTAATAATTAGCTTTCTAATACTTATTTTATGTTCTGTTCAATAATTAAATGAGTGAGTTATTATATATTGTAATTATCTGTTTACAATATTTTTGTCAAGTTATCTCTCTTACGTTATCTTTTCAAATCCAAGGCATTTTGGCTGTTAAATTAGTTATAACTAAATTAGTGATGATGAAACTACATTGGTTTTATATTATTAAAAACACAGAACACTGAAACACTAATTCTAAACTTTTGCACAGAAGTAAATTATGCAGGAACACTGTATGAACAGTTCACTAGATTATATTACTCACAATGACTTATCCAAAGCACAGTGTGTGCATACTCTAAAAATTTTTTTGGAATAAAATATTTCAACCCCTTTTCACTGTAGCCATAAAATGAGCTGTGTATTTTGTTCACTAACATTGGTGCAATATATTATTTATGAAAATTTGATTCACAAAACTATGTTTTATTGTGTTTATGAGCTGTTTTTATTGTGGCAGTTGTGGAGGATTTTTTGATATCTAAAAAGCTGCAGTTGTGCAGTCCGTTTTATCTCGGCATTGCCGTCTTTGTAGAGAGGTAATGTGTTCTCAGCCCTCTCCTTTTACTCCTCATAGAGACAAAACATTTCATACACAGAGAGCCAATAGTGTCCTAGTTAATATGATAAGAGTTATATAGAAAAGTGTTTTATTTAATTATATAAATGAAAAATGTCAGCATCAGTTTTTTTTATTCTGCCGGTCAAAGGGCTTCTAGGGGGCTTGCAGGAAAAGGCTATGAATATAATTGTAAGTGTTGCTGACAAAAAAAAACTTACAATTCACATTAATATGTACATACATCCATTGAAAAGAAATAGATTTTGACACATGATTTGAATAGAATGATGTTTATCTTTCAAGATATTAAAATAATAAATAATTGTTGTGAAGAATCTGTTTAGATTCTGGATGGATTTTAAATCATAGGAAAGCAAATGTTAGGACTGTTGGTGTAGTGGTGTTGGAAGCTAACTGGCGATTAGTTACACCACTTGTCCTCAGAAAGAGACAAAAGCAAATATGAATCCTCACCTGGATGGATTATGCAGTCATGTCAGTTTATGGCAAGCTGGGGAAAATGTATGCAATTGCACCTGTATCCTTTACTCAGTAGACTTACATAGGTGCATTGTTTGCAGGACATACAGTTTATTACATCAGTAACGAACAGGATACATGCAGTTTTTTCCACGGAAATAACTGTGTGAAAATTCCAGGTGCTGGTTCACTCAAATTATGACAGCCAACCTTTAAAAGCCATAGAGCTTGGAGCTCTGAAGCAGAAACACACTACCTGATTCAGGATGATAACAACACTACTCTCTTTCTTCTTTCTAAGCTCCACCATTGCCTTGGAGGTAAGACATAACCCAAGTCCTCCACTTCATCAGCAAAGTGTAGTTTTTAGAAAACGATCTTTATCTAATGTGTTTCCCAAAGCCTGTGGATCTCTGGACTGAGAGGAATGGTACTGTGGGTCCAGGAGACCAGTGCAGCTGTGAGGCCTTTCTGCCTGGCAGCACGTTCCCCATGGGAGAGCTGGTGCAGCTTGAACAGACGGTGGTGCAGCTCAGCCACAAGCTGGACCTGGAAATCGTGAAGGTAAAGGAGATGCTCAAACACTGAAACCTGAACGACCTACACCACATGTGTCAGGCTCCAGTGTCTTGCGGGCCAAAACACTGCAGACTTCAGCACACTGCTTTATTAAGCACACCTGATTCAGCTTGTTAGCTAATTGGCAAGGCCTTCATTAACTGAATGCAGAGCGTTAGTTGAGGGTAAATGCTAATATCCACAGCACTTTGGCCCAGAAGGTCCCAAGTTTGACATGCCTGATCTACAGTGTAGAGTTTAGAGTGTAGAGTCGAAAGGTGTTATTGATTCTGGTCCTAGAGGACTGTAGTCTAGCACAGTTTGATTTACTTACTGTAACATACTAAGTAAACCTGGTAATTAACTGATGATCTTAAAAAGGGTTCTTTTGAGCAATGCACTTTAGGTTAGCCAAAGAACCTTTCAGTTGATGATACTTTGAAGATTTTTTGTAAATGAGATTCTGAAGAACCTACGAGTCTGAAGAACCTTTCAAAAGATTAAAGAACATAAGAATAAGAGTGATCTGAATCTGAATCTGATGATTGCGAGTGCATTGAAAGAACACTAAGGGTGCATTGAGAGAACTCAGTCAAAACATGGATGTGAGTGAATTATTTACTGTTGTCATCATATCATCAGTATAATGCTGATTTTGCATTTGAAGCATAAACATTGAGGACCTTCTTTTTGAGCATGTGCATGTGACGTTAGTACATAAGGACAAACAAATGGACTGAAAAACTCCCCAAATCCAAAAATCACTTTAAAATCTAGAGTCACAGCGATATGATGATAACTATGTTAACATTCTACCAACTGGGTTTTTTCCTAGAACTGTACATCCAACCCATAACCCTTTAGGAAAGTTTATTTTTAAGAGAGCAGTGAAATCACCATGACTTTGGCATCCAGGACTGATGACTCCTGCTCCACAGTCAGCAGAGGTTCTTACTAATGCAGATGAGTCAGACTTCAGTCCTGGAAGCCAACAGCACTGCAGGGTTTAGCAGCCTCTTTAAACACTGTTAATTCAACCCATTCAATAATTGCACAAGCCTCGAGGAGCTGAAACTGAAGGCAGGAAGACATCAAGTCTGCAGTGCTGCTCTAATTGCCTTCTCTCCTTTTGCCAGGTTGAGATGTTTGAGAGCAAACTTACCATTTATATGGAGAAGGTTGTGAACCTCACAGTGTTGATCAAGATCATGGAGGACGATCCTGACTCCTACTCCGAGCTCCAAATACAAGAGGTGAAGATTCAGATCAAGCAGGTGGAGGCCCTGATTCTGGAGCTTCAAGCATCCATTCAGACGTCTTCTACAGTGCTCATTACCATCCGCAAAGAGGTAACACATATACAAGAACTGGACTTTGTGCTGAATGATTGTGGTCTTGAATGCAAGATCAAAGAAATAAGATTGTTCATGCATTGCCGATTTCATAAAGTCAAAAATTCACCCTATAGATCACCTCTATGATTGTTGTGCTGACTCGACTGGAGACCAAATATGACAAGAACCTGGTGCTGGTAACACGGAGGGAATACATCAAGCTTCAGCAGAAACTGGAGGAATGCGAGAGACGCCACAATGAAATCTTTAATCCTAACATCGGTAAGTCTTTTTTTAAATATTAACAGAATTTACATATTTTTGGTCCGTTTCTGAGCTTTTGTCTTTTGTTCACAGGATCTTGCAACCATGGTGGCATCTCCAGACTAAGTAAACCAATCATAAGCCAGTTGAATGCAAATTTGAATGCAGGTTACACGTATGGAGGGTGGGGCAAAGATTCAAAGCCCCTGCCCGGTTCTGAAAATATGTACTGGTACTCTGCTTCCACTGATACAGTGGTCAGATATGTTAGTGTTTATACTGACTACTACAGGCTGATCATGAGACAGGCAAAGAAAACATATGACCTCTATGATCCAAAGAAGGACTGGCGAGGTACAGGTAATAATTATATCATACGTAATAACACACTGTACTATCAGTTCGCGAACCCTTTCAGCATGGCTAAGTACAACATGACCAGTCAGACAGCAGAGTACAGGGTGGTCCCCAAAGCAAGCAATAGATTTTCCTACCACTATTCAGCCAATCAGAACTTAGACTTCGCAGCAGATGAGACTGGACTGTGGGTGACGTACGCTACAGATGAATCGAAGGGTAAACTGGTGCTGGGGAAGATAGACGAGGCCGCGTTCGCACTAAAGGAAGTTTGGCAGACCAGCGTCTTCAAGCCATCTGTGGGCAATACCTTCATGGTATGTGGAGTTCTCTACGCTACGCGATCTGTAGACATCCACACTGAAGAGATCTTCTACACATACGACACTCGCACAAGGAAGGAGAGCTATGTCAGCATTCCCTTTGAGAAGTTCCAGGAGAATTATGTGTACCTTGATTACAATCCCACTGATCAGAAACTGTACATGTACAACAGAGGGTATTATGTCAGCTATCATGTTTGGTTCAATCAGAACAACCAAACGAATAAACCACAACTCCTGATATGAGGCTGGTTTGATTAAAATACAGCTGAAAATCTATGTGGCGTTTGGTGGTGTATCTACTGAGACACACAGAACGCTAAAATGTTCTTAATTGCATTTCAGTCCTGATAATAAAATCTTATGAGCAGCATATCTGGGTGAGTTCCTTTTGAATGTTATTTTATACTCCGGTTAACAGTGTTTATGTAACAGGCTGCAGTTAGTGTACTCATGAAAACGCAACATTAAGTCCAATGCACTTAAAAGTAATATTTTCAGATGAAATTCACATGTAATAATGCAATTATAATCACAAATTCTGTTGGAAAACATTAAATATGTTACATAAGCTACATTAGATGTTTAAAGGGAAACTAAAGAACAGAAACTGTTCTTTAGGCACTTGTGTCATTTATGAGAACAGATATCTGAATCAGATCTGAATATGATATAAGCATAAAACAAGTCATTTGAATTGATTTCATATTTCTGAGCTTTTAGAAATCAATAAAATAAGGGTCATTCCACGCCAGCTGTCCTATAGCATGTCCTGTCAAATGATGGATGTCCATGGAAAAATGTCAAGCAAAAATCTTCAACCCTGTCCCCAAAATTTTTAATCTGTGCTCCACTTCATTTTTAAGTTATGATTTCTTAAGGTTTGCTCTATTAGGATCTAAATTGCATCTCAAATAATATGAACTACTTGCAGAATGACTGAATTAATGAATGAAATATCAAATGAATAATGCAGACATTCTACATCTCTAGAAAATCTGTGATTCATTAATGTCTGCATGTAGGATTTACAGCTACACCCTGGGTTCAAAATGGCTAAAAACTAAAAATCAATTTTGTAGGCCGATGTTTGGTCTAATGTTTTTCAAAAGTGACTAATAAAGTTTTTACTCAATAAAGACACTAAAAAGAACAATCTTTAGATCTTTTCATCGTTTAATAATATTCTGAAAATTAGATAAAATAACCAAAAATAAGTAAATAAATAAGAACTAAAACTGCAAAAAGAAAAACACCGGATTTACAAATTAGCTTTTATTATAAAACAAAATGGCTGTTTAAATATTGCATAATTCACAGATTTGCTATACATACATACATGCATGCATAGATTTACAAATTTTGAAATCATTTTGTTCCTGTACCTCCTGTATACTCAGTAGTTACTAGGTAAATCCACCTATTGAGGGCATTTATTAGCACAAAGCCAGTTTTAAAGTCAAATATTATTCATAGTGTTGTATTTATACCCAGTTAATGTTTCAGCGGTCATTCTGTAAGTAGTTACCCGTAACATTTAATATGCAGTTTAGAACCTGAGTAAATTTTAAAATTATAACTAATATAACTAAAAAACTACTCAGAGCACTGCTTTACATTTTTTCGTGGATAACTATGACGTGACTGGACAGGGACTATGTGAGTTGGTGTGGAATGATCCATATATCTCAAATACATACAGCTAGCAACATATTCACTTTGTTCTACTGGAGGTTACAGCCATATAACATATAACACACTGTAACACAGCTGCCTTCAGCTGCCTATTCAGATGCCGTTCATAATACACCACAGGTGCTTTACATAAACAGAAATAACCAAACTGTATTAACAAATACTCAAACACAGCTCATTAAGTGCTTAATTTCTTTACTGGTCGCATCAAGACACAATAGATTGCTTTAGGTTGGACTGTTAAGGGTAATTTTGAAATCTATTTTATAGCTACTCTGATCTGAATTATGTACTTATTGAATCTCTGGTCACACTAAAATTGTAATAAATAAATAAATAAATAAAGTAATCATTCCCTACAGAAACATGCGGCAACATCTACTCTGAAATCTATTAAAAATAACTGGCACTAAATTATCTGTAGCTTGCATGAATGAATAAAAGTAAATAAAGAATAAATAAAAACACTAGATTAGTCATTAAGTTATTCAGAAAACATATATTTAATAAACAATTACATTGAAGCCTCAACAACTAAATATAAAACAATTTGTTTTCAGAAAACACCTGTAGATTTTTTTACAGAAACACCTGTGGATGTTTTCAGATCTGAAGTAAGAGTGGAGCTTGATTTTGCCCTCTCTCTCTAAGATGAAAGGTTTAAGTACTGTTTATCTGATGGGGACAGCTTTGATGGTCTGCTAGGTCGTCCAAGGTTGAGTGACAGTTTCTCTATACTTCTGAATTCTTTTTTAAACTCTGGTTTTGAAAACTCTGAACTGCTTTTTCACTTATTTTCCTTTGACATCGCTTTCCTTATACAAGTGGAGTATCTTTAATTTAATCTATTTCTAGTCTTCTGAAAATTGAATAATGTGCACTTGTTGGCTGTATGACTGGAAATGAAATAAATGAAGGGCTGTCTCTTTTCCCTTCCCTTCTTATGCAAGTGGATTCTCTTATATCTAATCTCCTCAGAAATATTTCCTGAAAAATGAAAAACTTGTCTTTAATCAAACTTTTGACTGGAAATTAAAGAAATGGTCTCCAACTGTGGCAGAGTATTGTACCTCAGTACTGTACCTTCTGTACCAGCAAACAAAATTTATCAGCGAATGCTAGTGACATAAATCAAAAGCTTACACTGCAAACTTAAATTTTTTGATTTTACTTAAAAAACCATGCAAACATACCGCCTTGAAAAAATCAAGTAAAGTTACTTAACAGGTTCAAGCTTAAATAACTCTACATATGAATTATAGTTACTTTCTAATTTTCAGTGATCCACAGTTCTGCAGCAAGTAAGGTCAACTCAGACAGCTCAGTCATTGTAAATGGTGTTCACTGAGCTGGCAGTGCTCTACTTTTAAGTTCTGCTCACTTCTGAATTAGTTAGTTTTATTTAAATCAAATAATCTACTTTGTGTAATGTATTGGCATCAATCAAAACAATTACATTTTATTAAATGACTTGTTCTGTGCCCTGAAGAATAAATGGCTTTGATAAAAGAACAACCTCCCATTTCTAAGAATTTAAGTATGGTGAGAATAACAAAAAGATGTCATTCTGTAGAACGGATCCCAATGAATTATCTTAATTAGATTTATATAAGTAACTAAGGACTAGACAAGAAATAGTATGTGTTACTAGATTTGTATTAGTAATTTTAACAAATAAGTAAAGTAAACCAAAAAATTGCAATTATTTAGTTTTACAGTGCAGGTGCAATGTTTTTTTTTACTAAAATGATCTGGAAGAAGCAAACTCATCTTCAGCTAGTCCAGAACACTGCAGCCAGAGTCTTTACAAGAACTAGAAAGTTTGACGGCCTCGCCTGAGTGAACTTCTTTCTTATGATGAACCATCACACCTACTTAGATCACAAGGTGCTGGCTTACTATTAGTACCTAGAATTAATAAAGTTACATCAGGGGGGAGAGCCTTCTCATACAAAGCCCCCCAACTTTGGAATAACCTTCCAGTCAGTGTTCGGGACTCAGGCACAGCCTCAGTCTTTAAGTCTAGGCTAAAAACTTACTTGTTTAGTCAAGGCTTGGGTAATTAGTTTCCACTGTTAGACAAAAGGTGCAGATCTGGGGAGGTTATGGACGAAGAGTATTATGGTAAACTGGGAGTGCTGGTGCTCTGTTCATATTCTTCTTTTGTTATTGTTTGCTGTTTGGTCCCCTTTTGAGTCTTGATTCCTCTCAAGGTTTCTTCCTGCTCTTAGGGAGTTTGTCCTCACCGTTGGCTTGCTCATGGGGGCTTGGACCCGGATTTTTCTCTGTAAAGCTGCTTTGCAGCAACACCTGTTGTAAAAAGCGCTATATAAATAAACCTTGACTTGACTCATCCTGTTCTTGCAGTCATGCTGACGTTGAGTGTTTTCAACCAGCATCGATCAAATTTATTACATTTCTTTACATAGAGAGGTGTGTTTTTCCGATGATTCCTTATTGAATCAGGTGGGTTTAGAACCATAATGTTCTTCTACACATTGTGTTCCATTTTAGTATACAATGACACAGCCAGCGTAGTACCTATTATGTTATCAGCTGTTAGATGCAATACATTTTCCCATATAACCTAACACATGAAACACATGTTGCAAATGACCAACTTTGTCCACCAATAAAACACAAATTAGCATTGCCACAGTGCTGCAAGCAAATATGAATGTGTGCCTAAGTCATCTACCAAAGTTTATTGCCAATCTTTACTTGAAATATCATTCAGCAATAACTATGGGAATGTGAAAGATGTTCAGGATGTACCTGATAACTTCAGCTTTAAAAGTCGATGGCTTAGGACAGCCACATTCACTCCCTGGAAAAAGCCTGAGACAGAATGCATTTTTCTCTTCTGCTCATCCTTTTTGCGAGCCCAACATACGCATGGCTGGTAGGAACTTCTTTCTTTAGACGTCAGTGCTTCCAGAAAAATGAAACAAGCGCGTTAAGTTCAGTTATCTCATTTTATCCTTCTCTTTCCAGCCACTGGAGGACTGGGGCTCAGGGCAATGTGACCGGCTCTGTGGGAGAATCTGGCCAGTGTATCTGCCATGTGTTCTTGCCTGACACTACGTTCCCTGCAGACCGTGTGGAGAGTGTCCAGATATCTTCCAATAAGCTGACCGTGGACGTGGAGCTCCATATCAGCAAGGTGCATTCTGCAGTACATGCTGTTATAAACGCAGGGGTGGAGGATACAAACTGTAACCCTGTTAGCCTTTTGCTATCTGATATCATGTGAAATGTTCTTTCTTCCCCTTCAGCTGATTAGTTTCAAAGCGCAGCTGGTTGTTCTTCTCGAGGAGCTCTCCAACTTGACTCTCCGTCTGGAAGTGGTGGAGAGTGGACCTGATAAGTATGTGAAACTGGAGTTTGAGCTGCTGAGGATCGAGCTGAGAGAATTTGAAGCGATGGTCACAGAATTGAAAACGTCTCTCAACTCCTCCTCGCCAGCATTTGACAGCCTTTACAATGAGGTAGGAAGTTCTTACAGTGAATGTTTTACTGTGTTTGCATTGCATTAAGCGTTTCAATTTCTACTGCTGTACTCTCTCAGAAAAAAATGTACAAAACTGTCTCTGGGGTGGTCCCCTCAAGGCTACATCTCAGTGCCTTTAGTCAGGGAACAGAATTGTACCATAATCAATTGAAATTATATTTTCTAAGCTGTATTATCTCCACGCACCCCGTCTCGTCTCCAGGCTTATTTTATTGCTCTGTTTTAAAACATTAGGTTATGAAAAGGTACAAATCTGTACTTTTCACCTGAGAAAAACTTCTTTAAGGTGCACAATTATACCTTAAAACCACTGTTGTACCTTTGAGGGTACATTTAAATTGTTTGTACCTTGATGAACAAAAAATGTATCAGCACAGTACCTTTATTTCTAACAGTGTCCTGTGATTTGTAAATCTCTATTACTAATTTTATTATTGATGCATGATTATACCCAAAATGTATGAGTATCGGCAAACCAATATTTGATGATGTTTTTATTGTTCTTTGAAAGAGCAGAACGTTCCTTTAAATCCAAACCTTGAATCCAGTTTCTGGTTCTGGAATTTATAGTGACTGGTAGGTTTGACGCTAGATGGCTGATCAGTTTCATTTATACTTCTATTAACTATCAGTGATTGCAAAATCCAGGACCAGAAACTAGATTCAGGGTCTGTTTACAGTTTATATTTCTCTTTAATGCTAATCCACATAAATGTAATCTCAATATCTACCTTTTTAAAAGTGTTTAGATATCAGCATCACCATCAGCAGATATGCAGGGTATTCATTTTTAATCTTTTTGTTTTTACTGCACAAAATCACCTTCATTTTTTTTTTTTATGATTTTCTTTGTTTAGAAATTCAGAGCCAGAAATATGTCTACATGGTTCATGTTTAACACAATAACTTGGCACAAACACAATGCTGATTTAGTATAATTATCTCCATACCTGGGGATAAAACTCATTATACTGTGAATTGGTCTGTGGAATAACAACAGAAATGAAATCTATTTATGAATTTTTATACTCTGATCTGGCAGTGGCCGTATCTTCTTATTGAAATGTGTACGATTTCTTTATTTATCAATCAAAAAAATTTTTTTAATAAGTTACTAATTCTTCAAGCTTTGTTTATTACTCTATACTCAGGAAACAGTCAGGATTTCTTTAATTTGCATATTATTGGATATTTTATACATAATTGCAAATATTAATTGATAAGGTAAATAGTAGCAATAATAAGCACAGTAATAGCAATAACAAGAAACAAATAATGAATGAATAAAATAAGAATAACAGTAAATGTAAATAAATAACAGAAATGACAATTTTATGTTTTTTAATGTTTTTTATACATGCAAATTGATTTAATTTATTCTGGACTTAGGAGCTTCTGCAATTGTTGTTGACGCTGAGTACATCTGTAAAACTGTGTTACAGCTGTCCCCTTACACAGTCTCTCATAAAATATCCTGACATTTTTACTAGACAGATAAATGATTTTACAGTCATTCAGACACAGGGATCCATCTAATGATAAAAAAAATGAAAAAAATAACCCCCTGCCGGTGTCTTTGTATGAATGTGTAGCTGAAACTTCCCACTGTCAAAGAGGATGATTTAAAATGCATGTGCAGCACAAATAAGGCACTTGAAGCTAGTGATATACACGCTGTTCCAGCTCTCCTACTGTTGCAGCTGTATTCGCTGTACCTTACATGAATAAATATTAGTTGATATTGAGTCCAAAATTCCCGTATCAGTGCATGCCTAGTTTTTTCTGTTCATGTTGACCCTAGAAAGAACAGTTGTGGCCTTTAGCACAACTGTTGGGGATCCAAATAAACCAATACAACAATTTATATTTAATATTTGTAATGATTGATCATTCAAATGGATAACACACAGCTCAATAAACTGAACCTCAGCTGAACTGGATCAAATGGGAATTCAAATATTTTTTCAAAGGTTCTGCATACATAAATGGTTGTAAACAAGGCCATTGAGAGTGGTTTGGTTTCAGAAATGCTCCATTTTAGAGAAACTTACTGACTCAGAATTGTTTACAGTGGTGGTGATAGGAACCAGGCTTCTGAAGAATTGAATACTTTAAGAGGCCTTACAGAAAGTTATTATGGTTATGAATATGCTGCCTGACATCTGAAATATTGTTTTAATAAACTTTCAAGAAGGTTTTGACCTAAGATGTAGTTTTTAAAACGCATTCATGGTGAAGAAGGACACGTAGGGCGTGTTCCATTATTAGTATTACATATAAAGACACACGTGTTGTTTCACTGATGGTTTTGGATAGTAAATCAAATGGCTATATTTGCGTTGCGCTCTAACAAACTATTTCACAGTAAACCATCCTGAATGACTTTATGTACAACGCAACCACTGAGTTATGAAGAAAATTTTGAAAAATTGGTGTTTTTCCCTTTTCCCTTTTTTCCCTTTCATCTCTTAAAGATTCGCAATATGAGCATGATTGTAGATCAACTGGAAAGCTACGACCAGAGCAACTTAGAGGTGATTCGCATTGAGTTTGCCAAGCTTCAGAAGAAGCTGGAGAAATGCAGAGATGAACAGGACGACTTCTCCAATGTACAGATAGGTAACGTTGATGTATCGCCTTCATTTAAGATCATTTAATTTAGCTATTTATTCTGAAATTAGGTTTGATGTGCACACAAGTTCTGGTGCTGCAATGCACTCATATGTGAGCCTTTGTTTCAATTATATATATATATATATATATATATATATATATATATATATATATACATATAAAATATTTATGAGACAAATTACAATCTTGACTGATTTTTCAAATGTTCATCAAGCAGTTGTGAATATATTCACTTTGCTTTTTCTTGTCAGGTTCCTGCAAGCATGGAGGAATCCTGAGAGTTGGCAAACCTGTTGTCAGCCAGCTGAATGCAAATTTGAACACTGGCTATACCTATGGAGGATGGGGAAAAGACACCAACCCCCTGCCCGGTTCTGAAAATATGTACTGGTACTCTGCTTCCACTGATACAGTGGTCAGATATATTAGCGTTTATACTGACTACTACAGGCTGATCATGAGACAGGCAAAGAAAACATATGACCTCTATGATCCAAAGAAGGACTGGCGAGGTACAGGTAATAATTATATCATACGTAATAACACATTGTACTATCAGTTCGCGAACCCTTTCAGCATGGCTAAGTACAACATGACCAGTCAGACAGCAGAGTACAGGGTGGTCCCCAAAGCAAGCAATAGATTTTCCTACCAATATTCAGCCAATCAGAACTTAGACTTTGCAGCAGATGAGACTGGACTGTGGGTAACGTACGCTACAGAGGAATCGAAGGGTAAACTGGTGCTGGGGAAGATAGACGAGGCTGCGTTTGCATTGTCAGAGGTTTGGGAAACCAGCATTTTCAAACAGTCTGTGACTAACACCTTCATGATTTGTGGTGTTCTTTATGCTACGCGATCTGTAGACATCCACACTGAAGAGATCTTCTACACTTATGACACTCATACAAGACAGGAGAGCTATGTTAGCATTCCTTTTGAGAAGTTCCTGGATTTCTATGTCAACCTGGACTACAACCCCACAGATCAGAAACTGTACATGTACAATAAAGGCTACTATGTCTCATATCATGTGAAGTTCAAGAGTGCCTAGATGCTCTCTGGCAGGCTGGTTTGATTGAAAAGTCTGTTTAAAGATGCAAGCTTAATGCATTAATTACTGGATTTTAAGCACCAATAAAATTTAGTCTTTTCTCAGAAATAAAACTGAATCTAAGCATTGCACTTTTGGGCTGTTTATCTGTAATTACGTTCACAGTTAAACTCCTTTGATTTTGTTCATGTTCTTTGTTGTGCTTGTTCCTGTTTAATTATGTAAACCACAATAATGGGGGGATTATTGGGGCGGGGGTGGTACAGGACAGAACTGTGGTGAGAATTTCCCCACAGATTTTCATCCCAACGTTTCAAAAGGTCACTGGTAAGCATTAAAGTAATAGTGAAAAATCAAACCAACACAGTTTTGCCCTTAGCTTGTAGTCAATCAACCAAGACACATTTTTTATTGTCTGCTTCTTTAGCTAAAGTAGCAAACAAGTAATGCCCAATTAGCACTATGCTAAATGTATGCCAAAATCATCACACAGTTGCCTCAAACCACATCCAGATATTACACCAAATCAAATAGACTTAATTTAGGCTTGAAGAAGGATGCTACTTTAGTTTTTATCTAAGAAATGCAGTTTTGTCTGGAGTGTATGTTGGATCTCAGTGTTTTCTAAGAAAATTTACAGAGATATTAAAGAAATCTGTTTTCAGGTTTTTCTTTCCTACAGATTGTGTCATTAAAGGCTGAACTGCCTACTAATGATCATTTCCAGTGGAAACCAGTCCCAGTGTATTTTGCACCATTTTTGGTACAAAAACGCAAACTAAAGACAAAATTCAAGTTTATTACTATTTTCCACTTCAAACATTTCATGGCAGCTGAGAGAACGTTCATTGCTCCCTTTACTAATGCACTTTAGATCATAAATGAGGAGGAACTCTCATGATTTGATTCGTCAGATTGGTGTGCTGGAATGTAGAGCTCTGAAGTTTGCTGGGAGGAGCGTGCTGAGGAGAAGTATCTCTTCCCTAAGCACCACAGGTCTTCCATAATCTTACAGAAATGATTCCTGAACTTCACTCCGATGAAGGCGTAGAGGATAGGGTTGAGGCAGCAGTGGAGGTAGGCCACACACCGGGTTGCAGACAAAGCCAACAGAATGTTCTGTTCTGCCTCGCAGCTTCTCTCTCCGAACAGATTGCCAGTGTGGACCAGAATGAGGATGTTATAGGGGAGATGGCAGAGGATAAACACGATGACCACTGCCAGAACTACATGCACTGCCTTGTGCCTCTGGTAGTCCTGCGCCCTGAGCAGAGTTAACACAATGCTGCAGTAGCAGAGGCCCATCACAAACATGGGCAGAAAGAGACCCACAGTGACCTGTGTGCTGGGCACCAGGAGTCTCATCAGATTCACTGTTGTACCTGTCTCCAAGAGGACACACTCAGCTTCTACCATTCCATCAAAGCTCTTCTCCTCATACCGATCGTAGAAGATGAACGTTGGCATAGATAACGCAACGGCAAGAAGCCAGATTATTGAGCAAATGAGTCGGCTGTATATATAACTGTTTGAGCAAATTCCAAGGGAACACCTCGCTTTAACGATGGCCACATAGCGGTTTCCACTGATGCAGGTCCACAGGAGCATGCTGCTGTACAGGTTGATGCTGTAGGTTCCTGTTAATAGTTTACATGCCCAGCTGCCCATGCTCCAGCTGTACTGCTCATTATATATGATCAGTGGCAGGGCAATGACAAAGAGGAGATCTGCTAAAGCCACATTGACTAGGTAGATGTCAGTCATGGTCTTGACCTTCCTATAGAATGCATATGTCACAAGAACCAAAACATTGCCCACTAGTCCAAGGGCACATATTAAAGAGTAGACACAGGTTTGTATTGTCATTTGTTGTCCATGATTACCTTTCAGATCACATGGTAATGTATCATCTCCCCCCCAGTCATAAAATGTAGAGTTATCATCTGTTTCATTACCAAAATCCAAGTCTTGCGACATCCTGTAAAGAAAGAAGAGTGAATGAAACGAATGAAATGATTAATTATGCACCATATTTATGTCACCTTACAACAGCTGCATCATTGAGTTGCATCTTAAGCTCTGCCTTCATGAGTACTGCAGTGGTCTCCAAAGTAGGTATGATTCCATATGTCCCATATGCCAATGAAATACATTTCCATATATCTTTCAAAATATGCGTCTACGTTTGTAATATATTCCCATATATTAATTAAAATTGGCACAGTTAAATACATTTAGCACATTTATGTTTTCAACATGAGCAAAAATATGTACATATACTTTCTTCCATATTGGGTTAATCACTGAATTCAGTGATTCAGTGAACTTCTGTGATTCGATGACTGCACCAGACATGAAAAAACAAGATCAATGTGTCAATCACTGGGATTTTAAGATTTGGGACTACAGCCATACAAGTGCTTCCAAATTCTTTTTTGCATTGCTGAGAATGATCAACCATCCAAATAATACCCACACTGAGGTGGTCTTGTGGGGGTCCTAGCCAGTGGAGAACACTGTTCCAGTCAAAGTCCATGCAAAGTCAATGTTTCATTGCACTCATGTATGCTTGAGTGCAATGAAACAAGAAAACAAGAAAATGTCTGCAGTCTGAAAAAAACGGTATTGATACATCCCTAATTATTATTATTATTATTGTTATTGTTATTAATAATAATAATAATAATAATAATACATTTTAAGATAATGGATATAAACCAGTATAAATGAAACTGTGTGACTGAATACAGCCAACTCCAATCTCAAGTTGTCTAGTACTGTACACAGTTTGACTGGTAATCAAAATAAACACATCACATACTCTCAAATAATAATACATAAGCAGATATTATTACTTAGATTTACATACTTATAAAGATCATCTTATGCTATAAATGATGAGTAAAACTAACCAAAAGAAATTCTTTTAACACACTCCATACTCCATACCTGTGCTGAGGGTGCAAGTTTGGCTAAAGGTTAAGTACTTCCTCGTTTTGGTTTGTGCCCAACCAACTCAACATAAAATGCCAAAGCAACCCGCCAGTTGACCCTTTTCCAGAGAAAAATAGTCACAGAACTGAGGCACACAAATACAAAGTAATATTATAACTCAGTGAGCTTCACTATCCACTTAAATAAACATACAGAAAGAGCATTTAAAATGAAGGTAAGAAAGGCCAGTCTGAACAGCTTCTCTGCCACATCCGCTCTGGTCCTGCAGCCACAAACCTAATTTCTGTCAGAACTTGTAGTAGTTTAACATCCTACCAGTGCCATTTTCTTTTCCTACATGTTATTTTTCAGCCGTTTGCCCTTATAGCCCTTATGACAGCATAGACCTAAATATCTGGCGACATATTTAAAGCTATCTAAAACGTGTTTTGGTTAACAGGTCAGTTCACAAACACAAACAGAGATGTCCTTTAAAAGAACCCCCCTTCCATAGTTTGGTTCTGGCACCTTCATAGCAGTGCAGTGTTTTTCAGTGCTTTTCCAATCAATGGTACAAAGACCAAAGACTGAATTTCAATCAAAATTGCCCCTTTGATTAATTTTATGTATTTATGAAATTTCTCTTGCAAAGATGTGTGCAACAGGAATATAGAAAATGTATATACTGTTACAGAGACATTGAAACGGCTTTTTTTGAAGTGGACCCCTGAGGTCAACTTCTGACATCTATATAGTTTTATGTTCCAAGAAACAGCAACAATTCATTTTAATATGACAAATTTCCAACCTCTCTTTACACCGAATTAAACAGGCTGTTTTTGTTGCCTTTAAGACTGATATGTAAATGAGCTAGGTTCTGACTGGCTGCCTATTGAGTGTCTTACACTCTGAATTCAGTTCATGAAGGCCTTGCTAATTAGCTGATGAGCTGAATCAGGTGTGTTTAATAAGGCAGTGTGCTGAAGTCTGCAGTATTTTGGCCTGCAAGGACTGGTGCCTGACACATTTGGACTACAGAGGGAACATATGGTTTCAAACTTTAACAGTGTTCATAAATTACATTAAAAAAATCATTTTTCTGTGATGTGTGCCCTTTAAAAGAAAGTAGCTGGGATAAAGTTACACACAACAAACTAGCAAACTGGCAATGTCTTATTAAGTGGAAATGCATAATTAGTTTGTCAACTGACGAAATAACAGACTAAATGAATTAATGAAAACAATTTGTTTTAATTTTCTTCGAAATATTGAAATACATTTTGTGCATGTGTACTTAATCACACAATCACGAGAAAAGAAGGAGTGGGATGCAGGGAGAGATGTGATACACTGATATAGGCTGAATTTTGTGTAAGCTGATACCCCACAGCCCCCTCAACCTCAGCTCGCCCCCTCCTCTCTGTGGTCTCGGGACTTCCTGGACCCAGCTGGTCTCTGCAAATGCAATAATTACCCGCTCCCTCAAGACTCTGCACCTCCCTGACATCCTACACCATTACAGCACTCTCTCTCTCTGCCCTTTGAATGGAAGCCTCCTGTATATATGAGTGTCTGAGTCTGTTTCTCTAATTATCTCTCATAGAGTGATAAAATGTGTTAAAAATACTAAAACAAAACAACTGTTTGTCAAATACATTACTTGGATTGTCATTGTTTATATAATCAGTTATCGTGCATGTCACATACTCAACTCTGGCTGCAGGGTCCATTGTCTTTGCCTTTCTCCTGCCATTGTGCCATCGAGGAAGGCTTTTCAACCCTAATGGGTACCAAGATATTGTAAAATGGTAAAACCACTCCTGACTTGTTCCCCAACAGTTGAGCTCTTTTCATCAGAGCTTTGGTCCTGGGGACAAAGTAACCCACACAGGTCACAGAATTAACCGTTTTATACTCCATACAATATTTCAGAAGAAATCTCAATTTTTGACAATTTTCAGTTTTTGACATAATTTGAAAATGCCTGTTGTCCTTTACATTGTGCGTAAATTTCATGAAGAATGGACCGAAAGAAATGACCCAAAATGATTGACTTACATTAAAAGTAAAGTACGTTTTTTCCTTCTCCAGTAAAGTTACCATTTTGGAGATATGAGGTTTTCTTCTGACAACAGCGATATATACATGTGTGTGTGTGTGTATGTATACAGCACTGTTTGGAATCACTTACCACATTAATATTTTTTGTTATTTTATTTACAAGTATGTATACACACAATGCATACAATGTGGATTTAAATATAAAAAAACTGTTCAGCAAGAGATTTTAGAAGAGTTTCATTCAGTGAAACCCATGAAAAAAGAGAATGAAAAGGAATGAAAAGAATAAAACGATAAAGACTTAAGAGTATATTGCAATTGTCTATTTACATATTTCTGTCAAGATATCTGCCTTGAAAATTGACTTCCAGTTTTGAAATATGAATTCTGAATATTAACTTTATTATAATTTCATTCTCTGAATTTCTGTCATTTTAGAATGCTGAACGGCTCCATTCATCATTTTAGACAAGTCTAATTTATTTTTCTTTATTAATCTTTATTTTCAGCTTCCTAGTGTCCTACTAATTATGTGAAATGTGTGAAGTTGCACTGGACTAACATGTTAGAATTAGTTTCTACACTTAACAAAAAACAAATTGCTTTTATGTTGTTGAAAATGATTGTTTTCATAGTATATCATAAAGATATATTTATTTATTTGTTTGTTTTTGTTTGTTAATATGGTTGGAAAGTTTCATTCCAAAATGCTGTGTCTCCATTTACAGCCATTTTGGATATAAGGAGTTTTGAAAAGAGTAACAGCTGACGAAGAATGGAAAACACATTTGTATTTCTATAATTAGTGTGGTATAAATTATAATATAGTAGTAATGTTTTTATGAGTTAAACTCACTCCCAACAACGTATATCAGGAAAAAGAAAAGGTCTATAAAGCGTTTTACAGTCCCTTCAGTTATGTAAATAACTCTTTGCATAATTAATGTATCATGTATTTTTTTTTTCTTGCTGGAACTGTTTACTCCTTTTGTTTTGGTGAGAGTCTAGAGGGCGCTGTATTAGTGACATCACCAGAAGCCAATAGGAAGCGGCGCTGTGGCTCCGCCTCTCCGCAGCTGCCGAGAGTCTCGCGCTGAATGACGCGCGCAGCGCCGCACGGACCGAATCACGGTTCCGCTGATCAGCACTGAGCTCAGAGATCCTCCGCAGCGCTGCTGGAGATGAGGAGAGGACCCGCCGGGCGGGATTCACAGCCCCTCAGATAGGTACCGACACACATGCATTTCAGCCGTTAAAGGTCCTTAACGTGTAAAGGCGATGCTGCTTCTGTTTACTGTGTGCGCAGTAGCGTGAGGCGCGCTGGAGGCTGGAAGGCAGGAAGGCTGTTCGGGTGTCAGACTGGGTTCAGACTGGCGCGGTGGGATGGTTGGAAATGGCTGACTGATGATGGGCCGTGTTGCATGTGCTGGACTGGATGTGTGGATGTGATCTCTGAGCTGGGATGGAGGCTGCACTGCAGTCCCCTCCCTCTGCACAGGCTTCATCATGTGTGTACACACGCCTTACAGTGCACTCCTTAAAAAGATGGTTCTTCAAGGGTTCTTTATTAAAGGCATTAAATAGTTCTATACAGAACTATTTCTATAAATGCTTAAGTGGTTCTTTGCTTGGTAAAGTGGTTCCTCAGATTGATGGAGAATGTGTTGTATATGGTTCTATATAGAACCTTTTTGATAATAACTATGTAGCACTTGTATTATTGTAAGCTTGACATCCGAACAGTAGAATAGAAGAACCCTTTTTGGTGCTATATAGAACAACCTGTATGTTCTCTTTACTAAAGATTCATCTACGAGAGTTTATAGTATATGTTTTTTATGTGTCTCTTAATTAGCTGTGAGCTCCATGTAGTATTATCCATGGAGGTTAAGCATGTTATTCCAGTAGTGCTCCTCAGATGAGGACTGTGTGGCTCTGAATCAGAATCAGAGCTCTGGAGATGGGAAATAGTTTTCTATCCTGGCTGAGAGTTCTTCTGGAAGTGTTCAGACTCCCTTGTAGACCTGATCTGTGGTTCAAAATACTCATATCCCAAACAAAAGGTGGCATAGCTGTAAAGGAAGTTGCTTTCTTGAAAATCATCCCAACCTGAAATGAAAGAAACATTCACTACTCACTTCGTAAGAGGAAACAGCTTCCAAGAATTGTGTACTTTGCATAAAATTGGCATCCTGAGAACAGAGTAACGCAACAAAACAGACCTTTGGGTGATGGGGCACTGTGTAAGTTATAAACATTGGTTACTGATCTACAGTAAAATGAACATTCCACTGTGGTCTGTATATGCAATGCTTTGTAGGGGTTTGTTTTGCTTCGTGACTGTTCAGAGAATAAGCAGTAGGCATTTTATAGTGTGACAAGTCTAAGAGGACATGAGTCATGCCTACACCGTCCATCCTCATTCCATTGCTGATTTTGTATGCCAGCCTGTGGTCTGGCACAGCATGCAGAGAATGATGTTTTATTGATTTTTAACTTTTAGGTGGCTGTTGCAAAGTGGAGCGTGAGCAGAGAGAGGCATTTAATGACTGCACTCCAGCATGACTTCCTTTTGTGATGGAGTTCAGGGACAAAGGTGAGTCTTAGCAGGTACTTCACTGGCTCTGGTTTTAATATAAAATGATGTGGAGTTTTTCATTTGAAAAAGCAGCTCTGCGCAGCACAGGGGAATTCCATCGATTTTTCAAAATGTCTACAAAATTAAATGGTCGAGATGTAAACAGTCCTTTAGAGTGGTTTGTTACGAAACACTTTCTATCTGAGTGAGACAGAGTTGTTCACAGTGGTGGTGATAGGAACCAGACATCCAAAGCATTTAATGCCTCCTAAAGATCTCTTACAGAAAGTTATTACATAAAATGCAGGCTGTTTTAAAGCAAAATAGTCCCCAAAGAAAACACAGTTTTTCAGATTTGCCACTATTTTACCCAGCATTACATATAAAACCTCAGAATACACGTGTAGGATCGTTAGTTGTTTTGGATTGTAAACAAAATGGTTGTATATGTGTTGTAGATATCACGACCGCTGGTACCACCCCTGGAAAGAAAATAGAGTTGGAAAGTTTATCTACAGTTTCTCTACAATGTGCCATTTCACATCACACCACTCTGAATGACTTTGCTTGCATTTCAACCATTGAATTATGCTGAAAAATCAGTTGAATTCACCTTTAATTATTTGGTTGTTTATCCATAGAAACTGTTTCATTTGTAGTCTTTGGATGAGGTGCTTATTACCATCATTCACACGTTTCACTCCTCACTTGTCAGACGGGGAATTGCTGTGAGGGAGCTACCCATGGAGCAGTGCTGTGTGAAGAGGCTGGTGGAGGAGTGATTCCACCTCAGCCATGTGGTCATTCCTAAGAGGACTTCCCTCCGTCATATCTTCCAGTTCTCTGTGGACTCTGGTTCTCTGAGGGCAATCATGGCTAAAAGAGACTACTTGGTGGATGCAGCCAAGCAGATCCGCATGGCCCTGGACAGGGAGGTCAACGAGGACTACGAGGCTGCGTTCAGCTACTACAAGAACGGTGTGGACCTGCTGCTAAATGGAGTTCAAGGTAGCAGGTTCTGTTTTCACAGCATATTATACCTGTATGTGGTAAAGCATAAAACAGGCTGATAGATGGGTTAACATTTCACCAGCATGAGTACTTTTATTTCTTAGTCCCGCACGTGTCACAGATTTTAAGAATACTTAAAAGCACCTTCGGTCAGAATACATACATGACGCCTTCAGTTCTAAGCTTGTGAAAGTGAAATTACAGTTGATATATAATTGCAATGTGATTGTTCATTGTGTGGAATGATTAAATGATACTTACAGTGTGTCCAAATTCAGGGGCTGGATCCTTCGAAGGACGCAGTCTATGAAGGCGTGTCCTATGAAGGCTGCTTAGACCCGTGAAGGCTGAACCGAAATGAGACATCAGCCCTACGGCAGATTTTCTGTTTGCGTCACAGCACCTGTTCCCGCCCTTACCGTTGCGCCATGAAACACAGCTCTTGTCACGTTCTTCTATAGTTCTTTAAAGACGGAGCCAGAAACTAATTTTATTTTTTTATTTTTTCATTCAATAGAGCTGGAGATGCTTCCCTGCCAGCTGCTGATGAGATTGTTGTTGTTAACATTTGTATTGTTAGCCATTCGCCTCAGTTTAAACCCAGTACTTATATTTAAAAGTGTACTCTTCAGCCGCCACTCGTTTCTGTGTTGATGCCGCCATTCTTGCCGGCACGCAATGAACCTCGGGATATGTTGGCTGGCGAAGGATACACCCGATGGATCCTTCATTGCCATTTCTCGGCCGCATATGAAGGAGACTTCGAAATGGGACAGCCTAGTCGTGCCACTGTGACGCAATCAGCTTTAAGAGGCAGCCTCCGAAGGACGCAGCCCCTGAAATGGGACACACTGTTAGGCTGCATCCACAACCACATACTACCATGCTATACATACTATACTACTGAAAGTATTTCTAATGATGATGCCCATGCTATTTAATGTGGTAGTATGTGGTTTTGGAACACCGCTCAAGCTCAAATAAAAAAACATCACTCACTGCTGCCCTCTGAAGGTGTTATAGCACCAAACCATAAGTTAGAACTTTTGTTGTTTTCGAGTGTCTCAATAAATGCATTTTCAGCTTTCCTTTTCTTTCACATTCCCATTTAGCTCATCCCCACTAAAGAAAAGGCACCCAGTTCACATTCTGTTTTTTGTGATATTAACATTGTGGAAGCTAACAAAGGTGAAAAATAATTGCAGTCTTTAATAATTGTGATTAGGCAGTTACGTAATAATTGTGACCGGCCTAACATTAGGACATAGTTTTATTCTATAGTCTCCAGCATATTATGCTAAAAATCATAATTTACTAATTCAGACTATTAAAGGGGACTGTATGACTATAGGAGGGGAGAGAACTCTTGAGAACCTGGGCTGGAGTTCTGGGCAGAGGGTCAGTAAGGAAATCTGCATTAGCTGACAAGATAGAATGAAACAGGAACGTGAGTCCATAACTCTGAAGCAAACTTGAGAAAATGAGAACGAGATCTGTTACAAAACTCTTGCTAGAGCATAAGTGAAACAGATGCTTTCAACATGCACTTTTGCAATAAGTTTGCTTCACAGTAGCTATAATGCTAAATCGCATTCTAACCTGTACAGGGGGCAGCTAGTTCAGATCTTCAGAATCAGTTTGGGTTTAGTTCAAGATTTTCTGAGAACAGCTAAAGGAACTAATTTGCTAACCCATAAACACAGTGTTGTAGTACAGCCCACTAATTTGCATAGCACAGTTTAACTGCTGATTAGGTGACTAATTACAAAAATCTACATCAGATTTATGATGGCCATGGTCACTGAATATTAGGGTGACCATATTTTGGCTTTCAAAAAGAGGATGCTGGGGACAGGACGGCAGCACAGGGCAGACTTTAGAAAGCAAATGTTAACAAGAAAGCAAAGCCAAGAGAGAAGTTTTAAGGAAAGATTTAAATTCACCAGTAGTTAATACAGATCTTACATTAAGAGGTGAACTATTCCACAGTCCAGGGGCAGCTTCTGAAAACACATGATCTCCTTTAAGCTTTAATCGAGAGCGTGGGACAGTGAGCAGTCATTTATTAGTGGATCAATGGGGGCTAATCATATCACAAATATACTGTGGGGCCAGACCATGTAATGCCTTAAAAACAAAAAAGTAGTTTTAAAATCTAAAATTTAAAATCTTGACAGGACGCCAGTGTGGAGAAGCCATGACAGTGAAATGCTGTCTCTTTTCTTTGTGCCAGTAAGGAGTCTTGTGGCAGCATTTTGGACAAGTTGACTCCCATATAGAGAATTACAATAATTAAGAAAAGTTGTGATAAAAGCTGGTAAAACTATCTCTAGATAATGAAGTAAGAGGACTGATTTCAATTTAGAAATATGCCTCAGATGATTAAAAATTAATCTTTAGGACTGAATTTGTTTATCAGATTTAAGAAATAAGTCAAAAATGACCCCAAGATTTTTAGCACAGCTAGATAAGTTAGAAAAGAAAGGACGCAGGTGGTCACCAATAGTTTGTATGCACTCAGACGGAAGCCAAGTGGAAGCATGTATAAAGAGAATAAAATAGGCCCTAAGTTAGAGCTCTGAGGTAAGCCATATGAAATGGGTGCTGATGACGAAGTAAGTCTTGCCATCTGAACAGTGAATGTGCAGTTTTAAGGTAAGAGGAAAACCCAGCCAAGGCTTTTCTCTGAATGCCCACCCCACGATTTAGACAATCCAAGAGAATATAATGGTCAATTATATTGAATGTGGCAGATCAAGCTTATTTAAAAAGACAGAGTTACCAGATTCAAGTTAAAGCAGTAAATCATTTGTCAATTTCTGAAGAGCTGACTCAGTGCTGTGATGCACCCTGAAGCCTGACTGAAACTTGTCACTTTTACTTAAATTGAGGACAACTGAACAAATCAAGAAGTCAACAAAAGAGTAATCAAAAACCAAACCAGTGTTCTTTTAACTACGTTCTACTAATGAAGACATTATATTTCAGGTTTTATTGTATGTTTATTTGTATTTATTCTTATGTCATACAGGGGAGTTTCTCAGACCCAGATTAAGTCTAGACCAAAAAGAATTTCCAACAACACTGCAATTTAGTCCAAGACTAGGCTTCATCCATGTCCGGGAAACTGGCCCCTTTGTTTTACAGGCAAAAATATACATTCTGACAAGATAAGTAGTTTTAAACGGTTTTTAGTGTATTAAGCAACAAGTCTGTTGTTGCTGAGGTTTTCCAGTTGAGCATGTTGGAAAGCAATAGGCAAATTGCTTCAGTTTGCTTCCTGTATACATTCCTAATTGATGATTAATACTAAAGAAGCCATGTAGGCCTACTGGCACACATTCACTCAACAGAAGCAGAATTAAGGTGCTAGCAGATCCTTAAAATAATAAACAAAGTTTGGAATCTACATAGCACCTCACACAATTGCAGACTTTGCTGTGTTCTAATCTGAACCCTACAGTGCACGACAATGTTTGTCACCAAGGCTTTTTCGTTTCAGAATTGGCCTGGGTGATTCACTCAGAACATAATACTTGAATATAAAGGTAAGGAGATTCTTTATTAGAGAGTGAACCATTCTTCTGTCTTCTAGTGGATCCGAACAAGGAGAGGCGGGAGGCTGTGAAGCGGAAGACCACTCAGTATCTGAAGAGAGCCGAGGAGATCTTCAACTCTCATCTACTGAATAATCTCAGCAAGGGCACCACACAGTTAGGGGTATGAGACCTACATACATACATATTCTCTATCCTCAAATCAGTGTAATCCTAATACATGTAACACTTTAGGTGAAAAGGATGAAAGGACGAATAAAAATGGCGCAAATGTATGTGGAGTAAAAACTTATAGCATTAGGAATGTTTTTTTTTTCCTTGTTCTATATAGTTACTATTTTGGATATGATTGTTTTGTTAGGACAGAGATAATATATATAATATATGAACTTTTGAAGTTCCCCACTAACGTGTTTCAAACAGTACTGTGAATGAAAGCCACAGACCACACTTCATTTATTTAATATCCAGTCAAAACAGCCATTAAGTGCCAGTTCTTCATTCAGCATCAAGGAAAGAAGTATATATTTAACTGAAATTTACATATAAGCCTCAACAGTAAAACATATCTAATTGTTCAGTGTTTAGTGTGTTCATACATTGCGTTTACTACGGCTTCTGTTCTTTTCGGGAGACTTGCTTTCAGTTTCTCGAAGAAATCTGCAGCGATATTTTTCAACAGCTCCAAAGTTCAGTCTTAGCAGTTGGTAGCATTTTCTGCTTCTCATGATCCAAGTAATCCCAAACATCTGTTACAGATGAAGCTTTAAGTACGGTCTATCTGATGGTCTTGCACAGTTGTTTGTAGTCACATTTTTCTCTGTTTCAGTGGCTGCTGTTGCTTGAAATTATATAAATGAAGGGTAGTCTCTGACTTTTACACAGTACTATATATTCTGTGTTGTCATGGATTTCCCCATGCTGGGTAATGCTGCCATCATACAGATGTGACAGTCATGCTCACATTTCCACTGCCGTATTCTGCTTATTCCATCCAGTCTGTAGATATTTCTTGCTTTGTGAGCCATCAGCTCTCACTCATCATTTTCCTTCTCCTAATATTACTCTGCACTGCTCATTAATATAAGGCAAGCACGGAGCTAAGGGTGTATCATGAGGCTATCCGCATCATCCCCCATTTACTCAAAGTCTAACTCATGTCTCCTCCAATAAAGCCAGTCTTAGCTGCCTGTCTCTTCCTCTTTGGATTTAAACTGCACAGCAATAGAGCACCCTCCCTCCTTCACTTTGCCAGGGAGAAGAATGAGATTAATTCTGAATGCACTCAACTCTGAGCCCTCACATGTTGTGTAATCCCCAGATGTGTGCCTCCTTTTGGAGCTGTGAAGGCGATATGATGGCGTTGAGGTCATGCACAAGCTGAAATAGCTTTTCTTCTTTAGTAATGCCTGATTGTAGTAATGTGATTTTGTGTATGTGTGTGTGTGTTTTGGTCAACAGGGTTACAGCAGCCTAAGATTCAGGTCAATCAGACATCTCAGCTCACCAGTGGAGGATCTGGAGATGTGCAAAGTCGTGGGGGTTATTGATAAGGTAAATTAATCTGCTGTCTTAAAAAAAGTACAGTTGCTCACTGTCTGAAAGCCAGGTGAGTTTGTGGTGTGAACCGAAGCAGAAGACAAACCATCTTTTTCTAAAAATAGCTTTTTTTGTGTCTGAGTTTTCACAAGAAAGCAGAAGTGAAACTACAAAACTGCTGTTGACGTTTAGACTGTTTTTGTGACTGTTTTGAAACAGTCAAATCTTTCAGTATGAACTGAACTGTTTCAGTTTGTTACATGGTTATGTGAGGCCTGAATGTCAGTCTATTCTGTTGAATATCTGAATATCTCAACATTGTAAGTCTGAAAGGATGTGTAGCTGTTAAGAAGCCCTTAGTGAGAAAAAAATAAGAACAAGAAGACAATTTGCAAATGAAACAAAGAAGCTGCTGGTTTTCTCAAAACAATGGGCTGACCACCCCAGAGTCCAGACCTCAACATCACTGAATGTGAACTGAATTTCTTTAAAAAATTGTAAGCAAGTCTTCCAAAAAGACTGTGAGCTATAATAAACGCAAAGTATGGATACTGTAAATGCTGAATGATCTGATAGTATATTTAGTTTTTTAAGGCTTTGGTATAATTGTGTGTTCAATGTATGATTTTTGCTTTTTTCTTAACACGGAAAAAGTAGTAGGTTATTTTCAAAATAAAATATAAAATATTGTATTATTGTGTTACAACCTACTCAATGTTAACCCCAGTTCTTAAAGCTGTATTTGTGCTTGCATCTGTAGGTTCTGACTGTTCAAAACCTGATTAGCAAGGAGACATTTGTGATTAAGGTAGGTGTTTAGCCAGCAGCCATGTCCTAATGCTATAACTCTAGTTTAGAATCTAGATGCTCAGCCAAAAAGCTCTGACCGCACGGCTCTGCTGTATTGCTGTCTGGCCAGAAGGCTGATAACATCTCTGGGAATACTCTTAGGTCTACTCTCTGCATGAAGCTGTCAACATTGATCCACTTAAAAGCTCCTGTGCCTCTTAGTCCAAAGCATCTCATGTTTCTAAAGCCAGAAACAAGATTCTGGAGGCAGACAGCTTCCACTTAATTTTGTATATTTATAAATGCACTGGTTAATTGCGGTTAATGAACAATGATATGTTAGTACACATCCTTATGTGTATATTTTTTATATTTTCAAAATTTAATATATATAGTATGTTCAATTAATCATCTGATTCAAATAAAGTTATAACTGACAATATCTGCTTGTATACTATTAGTACTATATTGTTTGCAAGGGAATCACATGCATAACAACATATACTTACAATACTTGCTAATAACATAAACCTACAATTCTTACTAATGTATAGAGCCTGCCTAAGTCCAGCTGGGAGAGTCGAGACCGTCCCACCATCATTCCTCAGGGGGTTCCTTTCATGGTGAAGTTACTGAGGTACTACATCAGTGAGGACTCAGTGTTCCTGCATTTAGAACATGTTCAAGGTGAGCCAAGTAAAGTGCTGTGCGAAGCAAGTGGTCAATGTGGTACAAAGTGCTAACTGTTCTTTAAACAGGAAGTCAGTGAAATACTCACAGTAAAGAAATGCACTGTGGGTAGAAGTTCTTGCAATATAACTTAAATAGACAAGACACTACACTAGATTTAACAGACTATGGATGGAAAAAATAGTCGATTCTTGGAAGAACTGATTCACAAAAACATAAATCAGTTTTTTTATGTTAAATAATGAGACTCACACACCCTCAGAGACATTACAAAGTAGGATACTTTGGAACAGCCTGGCTTGGTGGAGGACGAAATGTAGGATCTCATTAATACACAAGTTTACAATCACTCATTAGTCACATAGGGATCCATAGCTGACTTCCGTGGAGCCTCCACTGTAATGATGGAAAATACCTTATTTTTAAAAGTAAAGCTCATAGACTGGCTTGGAAACTCACTTATTTACAAAAACATGTTGCAGTCTGGAGCTTCTGCTGCAGGGGGCACTATTAGCAGGCAAGTTGCTTTTGTTTGCATCATTTAATCAGAAGAAACAACCATGAACAATATAGGATACAGAAGTCAAGAATCTTGGCAGCCTAAATCAATATCAAATTGAATCATGAGGTGCCTAGAGATTCCCACCTCTCGTACAAACTGAGTCATTATTAGGGATCCAAACTTGAAAGGTGCTGGGATCCTACTGTTTTTTTAAGAATTATTTGTATCATCCTTCAGGTAGTAGACTCTTCTCCAAACTGCACAAGATCAGAAGTAAGGTAGCCAGAGAACATCCAGACTGCTTCAGTCCTCACCAGCACAAGATCCAGCTAAAAAACAGCTACACTTCCCCTGCTCTCAGCCAGCTCTACCACCTGAATGGAGGGGATAATCACAGGATACCTGCAGTTCTTGAAATGGAGAATTTGGATAGTCCAGACACAGACTCACTGGCATCTTGGAATGAGACCCAGCATCAGCTAGAGAGCTGTGGAACTCATTCCTACTGTGAGGAGACAGGATGTCTGCAGAATTCCAGATTTGACAAGGTTGGATTCCAGCAAAGTAAATCCTCAAACTCTGGTGCAATAAGGACAGATTCTCTTTCCTGTGTTGGTCCAGCTAATCGCCTCGCTTCTCAGGACAGTTTGCCCCTTCCTGTTCAGCCCTGTGTAATAGTGGACACTCGAGATCCGCTCAGCGTCACCTCTGATCTTTTAGGAAATGATGTCCGCATTGAGTGGGTTGACTCCAGCGTGGATTTTGACAAAGCCTGGAATGCTGCTGAACTTGCTCAGGACTACAGGGGTTTAACAGCTACAGGGTCAAATTCAGATATTCTAGGAATCAACAGTGTACCTCAGATCACTCTGAGCTCCTTATTTGGAGGGGACACACCGCCAACCCTCTGTAGCACTGTCAATGTCCTTCCGCAGAAAGTTCGTATAGTCCCCAATACCCTGCATTTACCCCTGCAGAGCCAAAAGCATGAGGACATTACTCATGGACAAAGTGTTTGTAACTCAGAAACTGTCATGAACACTGAAAGCTCCCAGTTTGTGGCAAGCTTGAGCTCAGGAAATTCTCAGCCATGCACAGTATCTCCAAAGGAACAAAAACTTGAAAGACCTGTAAGTTTCTCTGTAGACTTCATGAAAATGGCTCCTTGGTTGAAGAATGTAAGTAAGGATGGAGTGAAGGAGGTGCAGAGAGAATGTGTGGAAGTTGGAGAGGAGAGTTGGGAAGTCCTCAGTCCTCTGTGTAGAAAGGATCCTCAGTCCAGTCCTCCTGCCACCAACACTGGCAGCTCTTCTCATGGGCAGACTGGACCAGAGGGACCACATGTTGAGCAGATCATAGAGGCTGATGGCCTTCATCACCAGCCCCAGTCTGGAGCCAGGAGCTTCAGAACCAAGACCCAACCAAGATGGGGCCTCCCTGAGGGAGAGGTGCGAATGTGGGGTGCTCAGATCCTGCTGGCCCTCGAGAACCTTCATGAGCAAGGCATTGTGTGCCAGGATCTCAACCCCAGGAACATCCTGCTCAACTGCAATGGTGAGTGTGTCACTGGACAGTTTACAAAAAAGAAAACATAGATGACAATATTCTTCTCATAGGTTTGATCTTGGAATGTACAACATAGACAAAATACCATATAGCAGTTTGTAAAATGCCTTGAAATAAAAAGACCTAGATGAACCCTTGAATTGGTGTGCTATGGTTAAAGACTGACCAGCATGTTTTGCATATTGCAGCCTTCTGGCCTGTCAGTACTGCAAAGGCCATGATTAGCAAACAATATTATTATTATGATCTCAATCATTCAATACTGACTTAAAATGTCGAATACTTAATAATCGTTGTTGATGGTCAAGAAAATAATAGTAACTAGGTATACATCATGTTCTTTTGTCCAACTTTTATAAGCTTTTTTTAACACAAAGCTCACACTGTGCAGGCTAAATTAACGCGTGAAACACACCAGCACATTTCCATTATTTTCTATTAACTAATATAAATAACATTATTTGCTCTTTAATGAACTATACTGGCATTTTAAATTCATAAATGAAAAATCTGTTACATATTTAAAGAACATTAATCAAATAAAGTGTTTTGAAATACAGTGCAAATGCACCTACCCACTCACTTTATTTACATGATAAAATTGCAACACAGATTGGCTAAAATAAGAAAATAATACATTGGCCGACTGCATGTTTGGAGCAAAAATTCCAGTCACGCATCCTAGGGGTGTGACAATATGCAAAACTCATACTCTGTCAGGATTCAGTGTGATGTGTTGGTGTTTCACGGCGATACATTTTTGATATAGCAAAAAGAAGGAGTGCCTGAATGTGTGCCTTGTGTTAATGTTTACACCATGCACACAGCTCACACACGTGCACACTAGAGCTGTAACAATGCACATATTTTCAGGTGCGATTTTGAACTGGGTCAAAATTCAGTTTGACTTTTGATATTTTATGTGTGAAATATAATAAAATACAGAGCCCCAGAAGGGAAGTGTGGTGTACCAGAGAGCACCAGATGAGCACTAGATACTATCGGGTGAGCACCCGATTCTATGTGGTGAGCACCCGATACTATGTGGTGAGCACCCGATACTATGTGGTGTTCACCCAACACTATGTGGTGAGCACCAGGTACTGTCAGGAGATGGTAGTATCTGGTGCTCACCACATAGTATCAAGTACTCACCTGATAGTATCCGGTGCTCACCACATTGTATTGGGAGCTCATCACCTATTGGGTGCCCACCACTTAGTATCTTGTGCTCACTTGATAGTATTGGGTGCTCACCACCTAGTATCGGGTACGCACCTGATAGTATCTGGTGAAAAAAAAACCAAAAAAACACCACATTCCTTCAGGGGCTCCGTTTAAAAATGATTCTGCAGAGCTTTAAACGGATGGATTTGATTCCGATAAATGAAAGTTCTCTGCCACACCGCCCTCTATAAACCTCAAAAATGACAACCCCTAGAATTTATATTGATGTATTAAAAGCTCAGTCATATGCTCAGTCATAGGATGCACCCAGATGCCTAGTTCAAATAATTGACAGCGGTTTCAATGAAAGATCTAAATGAGACACCCTCGGAAGAGAGTGAGGGGTGTGCCAGCCATACAGTTTTAAAAGTTGACACACTGTTTAAAATGAGATTTCTTTATATGTATTGAAATCGTTAAACCTTTAGTGCATCCCTATAAGTATATACTACAGATGTTTATACATGTATTATACTTAACACACATACAGGATGGATTGTGTGTATCTGAACCTAATGACATCTGTTCTAAACAGGAAAGGTGTGCCTGACATACTTTGGACAGTGGACAGAAGTTCAGCCTGAAATTAGCCCTAAAGCTGTAGAGCAAATGTACTGTGCACCAGGTAAGCATGTATAAGAACAATTCCTGTATAAAGTCCTAACTGAAAGTTTAAAACTTTGTTAGATAAATGTAATTAATGATTATGTAATTAATAATTTGGAAACAGAAATTGGGGGTGTATCCAAAATCACAGAAGCCTGTGACTGGTGGAGTCTGGGAGCTTTACTGTTTGAACTTCTTACTGGAACGGTAAGCAAAGTCTGTTTACCTCAGCGAGTGAAATAACCTTATAGCCTCAACCTCGAAGAGGGTCCTTCATAAAACTGTACAATGTACACATTGTCTGTATTTACCTGAAACATACATATTTATTCTGTAAACAAAGCCTTAATGAACTCACTGGGTTCAAATTGGATGTTTTCTGCCACAAATACTCTTCAAATACGCCTTTTTGTCTCTCCTCTGTTTGTCAGCCTCTCTGGCAGTGCCATCCCACAGGAGTGCATCCACATACACAACTTCTCATTCCAGACCACTTGAGCACGGCAGCTGCCTCCCTACTCACAGAGGTAAGCCTGCTGGGCAAATTCGAGTTAAAAGACAGGTGCATTTAAACTGTAAGCACAATTATGTCAATGTACATAAACCAAATTAATCACCAGCACGTCTTTCTTTTTTTTGTCACAGCTCCTTCAGTATGACGCTGGCTGTCGACTGGGCTCAGGAGGTGGAGGAGTGAGTGATATTAAGTGTCATCCCTTCTTTAACTCTATCCTTTGGCACACACTGGACAGTTAATGGACAAGGAGGTGGACATGTGACCTCCTTCACCTAACACAGTACCTGCATGCCTTCAAAACATTAGAGACTGTTGGATAAACTGTGTCCAGTGGTTTGCGAGATGGCTTACCTCATGAATGCATCTCTGCTGCCCCCTGGTGGAGTACAACAGATGGAGCATCAGTATTCCCCTGCCAGCGCCTCTAACTGCAAACCAGAAAATTATCAGCTGACTACACTGAGCTTCCAGTTTATAAGGTGCACCTTCCTTGTACCCACAGTAAGAAGCCATTTTATTAGGTACAGCTACCATAAGCAAGTGCTTCACATGTATACAGTTACTGACTGTAGCCCATCTGTTGCTGTTCAAGATTCTTGACCAGCATAGGACCACCCTTGACCAGATATTATTACAGTGGTGGACCGTTCTCAGCACAGCAGTGACACTGTAATCTTGGTAGTGCATATTGCTCACTTTATTAGACATGCCTACTCTCTAGGTCCACCTTGCTGGTATGTGGTTAGAGCTGGGGTGTTCAAAATGTACTGTACTTAAAAGGGAATGCCAGCAATTTTTAAAAATTTTCTGAAAAATTAGATATAAGCAAACTCATTCAGAGTGGTTTGATGCAAAATGCTGCATGTTACTTACCTGGTCAGAATTGTTCACAGTGTTGGTGATGGGAACCAGACATCTGAAGAGTTTATTGTTCCTAAAAGTCCACTCACAGAAATGTATTACACAAAATGGTTGTGAATACGCTGCCCGATGTCTGAGACACTGTTTCACAATAGATTTGAGGTTAAGGTTTCAGCCTAAAACATTTTTAAAACACATTCATGACAGAATGTGCACATGTTGGGTGTTCTAACTCAAAATTTGTTTTCAGATTTACCACTATTTTACCATTATCAGCATTAAATGTAAAAACTGTAGGTTCACTGGTTATTTTGGATAATAAATAAAATGGCTGTATTTGCATTGTAGACATCACGATCCCTGGTTCTACCAGTGGAAAAGCCGTCCAAGCTGCAAAATTTCTTTAGAACGGAACATTTCTAATCGTTTACATCTCAACAATTGAATTACACAGAAATTTTGAAAAATTAAAAAAATGGAAATCAAAATAATGCAAGGTGGGTTCTGACTTTGGCACAGTGCTGTACATTATTCAGCATTTTATAAACAGGTTTATTTGGTGAAATTTAACCTAATAATGCAGAGATTGTGAAGTACCAGAACTGGTCTTCTTGGGGGGGGAGGCCTGAAGCTTCATTAATAGAAAATAATCTGATTTAAATCTCAATTGCATTATTGCTATTGGTCAGAAAAATCGCAGTTGGATCTTTAGCAGACTCTCTCAACCCAGTAGTGACACTAAGAGGTTTAAATCTCTGAGTTACCTTCGTACTAGTGCCACAGACTCTACATACTGCTGAGTACAGTCCATCACCTAAATAACATCTGGTCAGTGTTAGTCCTACGGTGGTTACTTTCCATTGATGAATGAAGTAAAGGTGGGCTGACCAACTGTGCAGCTACAGCCAGTAACTGTAAACCTACGAAGTGCAACTATATAATAGGTGTACTAGATAAAATGGCAACTCAGTGTTAACATATCAAGTTAAACCATTTGCAGTTGAGTCAGCTACAGAATTTAATCAGTTGTGTTTCTGTTAAATTAAATGGACCTTTCAACCATGTCCTTAGTCAAATTCTGCATCATTAATGAAACCTACTGAAATCCAGGCTACATTATTGAAATTGTAAGCATTTATTAGTAGCCTGTACTGACATCTCAGGCGTTAAAATATTTTTGCACTTGTGTTTGGCAGACGTACAAGTGATATGCAATATTGTCAGTATTAGCACTGATTAGCACTGCATTCGATCATGTTTTCCAAGGACGAAAAAGTAAAGCCAGTACAGTTTTTACACATCTTACTGACTGATATTTTGGACAAGCACTCATGTTCTTTCATTACAAAAACTGAATAAAATAACTCCTGATTGGTTTGTTGGTGTAATTTTATTAGTACTTATTAACTGTATCTCAAATCCACAGCATGTTTAATAGTTTAAGATGACCCAGGAATATCGTAGAACTACTGTTCTGCAAGAAAGAGTGAGTGCAAATTATTTTCTTGCTACAAAAAGCATTTCAAGTTCTGATATCTGCTCAAGCACTGACTTGTGTAGTAACTAAAGTTTGTATACCTATCAAAGTTTTTGCACTAATGAAAAATAAAGTAGTTGTGCATTAACATTTGCAGGAAAAAAAAGTTTTCAAATCTTTTCACTTAAAAAAATGTAAAAAATCAATAAAATGTACAATTTGAGCAGGGGTACTAAGATGTTTGCATACAAATGTATTCATATATATTTAGTAAACAGTCCCTTCAATCAAAGATGTAAGATCTAAAAGGTAATACATTTGACTGCATAATATGAACTGATGAGCTGTAAAGCCAGCTTTCCAGTTGGGCTTGTGTAGATCTCTGAGCATGAGAATAAAGGCACTGATATTACCACAAGACCCCCTCAGCAAGCGTCCAAACTAATAGCACAGCTACCGCATCCTGTCTTGCTGCTTAAGTCACAGATGTGTCAGTGGCATGATGAGTTTATGAGTGTTTACTTTCAGATTCACCAAAGCTCTGCACACTTACCCACAGTGTGCAACTATTTTAAACCACACGGTTTACATGCCTTCCTGGACTTTCCTACTAATAAAAGTAGAAGAAAAAGCAGAACGCAGCTGATCCACTACTGCCGTTATCCAAAATTATATCAACACACCCGTAATGTTGGTGTGAGGATGTGGGGAAGTAAAAAACCGAAACACTAAACATGAGACAAGAAAAGAGAAATAACTTTCTTCTATTTGTTGTTTAAAAGTTTATTTCCTCCTTAAATATTTAAGTTTCTTTACACAGCATAGACAGAATCTGCTCCCTATGTATCGGATCTCAAATTGTTTGAGGGACATACCACAAGTTTTATGTATGTACCATTCTGTGTACAAAAAAAGACCTACTTGAGATCTCGAACATAATGGAACATAGTGTTTCTGGTTTGCCGTTCATTTGATGGATTACAACTTCTTCAAATACTCTTTACACAGAGAATATGAAACATACAATATACTGTATACTACTGTGTGTGCTTTGCCATTCAGAAAACAAATAACCGGACAGATATTTTGTGCAACTTAACTAAATGTATAATAAGTGTAACACTTATACATAATTGTATAGGTGTTACAACTGTTATAGATCAAGTTAAGTTAAAAAATGGCAAAGCACTTATGAACTGCATGACAGCCTTCCTAAGAAAAAAAAATCCCAGCTGAGAATGTTGTACATTAATACCCTTTCACCATTCTAGCCCATGCAATTTTAAGCTCTAGTTTCCTTCTCTTGCTTTTAAGTGAATGAACCATTCAGTGTTCTTTCCCTATTTAACCAGTAGTAGTAAATCATTTGCAGTAAAGAGTATCAGGGCAGATAATGACCACTCTGTGCGAGACAGGGACTCGTTTTGTATTCTGAGGAAGTCAGCCATTCATGTGCGTTTCTTTAAAATTACACCTCACATGTCCAGGAGGAGCACCCTAGGGTCCTCAACCACAGACTTGATCTTGCGAAGGAAGGTGACGGCCTCTCTGCCATCAATCAAACGATGGTCGTATGTCAGAGCCACATACATCATGGGCCTGATCTCAACCTGAGAATGGAGAGAAGGCGAAGCCAAGCAGTGAGGCACAGACAGAATAAAAATCAAGGGCTACATAAACAAAATAGAAACAAACAACCCTTAAAGAGCTTATAACCAACCTTTCCTCCAACAGCAACCGGCCTGTCAAAGATGCCATGCATGCCCAGAATGGCAGACTGTGGCGGGTTAATGATGGGTGTGCCAAACATGGAACCAAACACTCCACCATTACTAATAGTGAACGTGCCACCATCCATGTCCTCCACAGCCAGCTCATTCTTACGGGCCTGTGTAAAATAAAACATTCAGTTAGCTCCAGAACACAAAACAGCATATTATAAAATCTTATTGGCTGGGCTGTGTTCAGAGTTTCCACAACGGTCAGGCACCACAAGTTCATTTCTAGGTGTAACCTGCCTAGAAAACACAATACTGGAAAGTATGGCCACAGCTTTTAACATCAGTGCTGTTACACAATGAGCTTCAGCAAAGATGTTACCAATGATAAGCCCGTAAGGCCACTGATCAAAGCCTGATGAAGATTGACTGGGGTCAGCAGGATCGAATGCTAATCTTGAATGTGACTGACTATATTGTGAAAAATGTGAATACTTTTCACAGCATTAATTGGTTTAGTGCAAGTTAACACCACTTAACGTATTTTTGAAAACTGCAGTCAAAATGTAGAACAAATGCTCTACTACTTTATAATGCTTTGTTACCTTCCATTTCTGAACTTCATTGGATCAAGTAATACGACTAAAGTATTAAGAATCTGATGTTCTGTTCCCAAGCGCTAAAGGGCACTGAGAGATAAACCACTTGTTTTTCAGAAGCTAGATGGTCTGAATTTTTTTCCCCTTCACTTAACATCTGCTTAGCCCAAAATATAACCGCCATTAATATAGGTCATTTCACTAATTATCTAAAAAAAGGCTTCTGGTTAGTTGCTCCATTTACAACAGATACCGGTGTCTCACGGCACTGTTTGTTCGCTCTGTACTTCCGTACTCAGAGTGTACTGACTGGGTCTTAGCTAATGGTACAAAGTACAAAGCATGAAAGCTTGAAAACAGCCAATATCATTTTAGCTATGGCATTTGAGTCTGACGCACATTTGAAAACCTTTCATTTCAGGGAGGAGAAAGATTCCTACCTTTTCTCCTAGCTCATGTATGGCTTTTTCGATGTCAGCAAAGTTCATTCCTTCCACTCCTCTAACTACTGGTACCACTAGTCCCTGTAAGGAACAGAGGCAGACGACACAGATTAATGCATGGGTTTTGAACCGTTTGGCATATACAGTTCTTCAGGACTCCGTATGGTGGCCCACATGAGAATAGTACTTCCAAATGCTTCCAACCTAAGTAATCACCAGCAAGTTAGAAACCGAGGATCTCCAGTCAAACTGGGAGTCATTTGTACCAAAGGTATAATGCATTACTACAAAAATACATCAAATGAACTATCATTCACAAGACTAAGAAAACATTTATTAACTTCACACATCGAGTCTTTACATGATGTAGTGTATTAGTACAATCTGTTTCCAAAGAATGGTTAATAAGACAAGCTCTTCAATTTACCTTTGGTGTTGCTACTGCCACACTGATGTCCACATAATCCCGGTAAACAATCTCTTTGGTTGTGTCATCAATGACTAAAAAGTAAATAAATAAATACATAAAAATTCCAACCATAATTCCTTTTCAACTCCATTAAACTCTCATATCTACATAACTAACAGTGCTGTGAAAAAGTATTTTTTTTTCTTTTCTTTTTGCTAATTTGTCACACTTAAATGTTTCAGATCATCCAACTAATTGTAATAAAAAGATAAAGACAACATGAGTAAATACAAAATGCAGTTTCTAAATGATCCTCTTTGCAGACTTGTTTTAATTCAGCTACACTGGA